AGGCGCAGGCCCGTGAGTGGGGCTCCACCGGGACCCGGGGGGCGGGCAGCGCCGAGCCCGTAGCCGCAGCGGCTGCACACGGCTCCGTGAGGCCGCAGGGGTCCTCCCTGTCCCGCGTCCAGGGTGACTCCCCCCAGACCCGCCCTCCCGGCTGCTCCTGCCCCAGAATCACCTAGAAAGAACCCGCCTGGAACCAGTGTCTCGTCAACAGCTGGAGTTAGGGAAGAACTGGATGCCCGGCAGGTCCCTGTCTGCAGGGCCACCTTCACCTTGGGCAGAGCGAGAAGACGGGGCCTGGTCCCCACCGTAGGACAAAGAGATCTGCAACTGCCTCTGGCAAACAGCCCCCGCCATCAGCAGCGCTGTAAGAGAAAGCCTCCTCCTGTTTTAGACACGGCATGTCAGTCTGCTGCAAACCAGAAGGATAATTCCTAATGGGACAGACCTCCGTACAGAGTGCCGTTTCCTTCGAAAACCCCAGTTTGAAGGGCATTTCACAAGAGGGAGTGATCGCCTAGAGAAGCTGTATTTATGCATGCACATGTGTGTGTCAGCCAAATACAACAAAGAAACGCTGATGGTTCCAACAAATCAAGACACAGTTCCACCAGCCAGATCTATTTCAGTAAATACGATGAGTGTGCAGGACAAGGGTGGTAGGGCACAGCCTGTGCCCAAGCTGCTGCTCAGCCAGCCAGAAAAATGGCATCCCCAATACTCCCCCTTTCCTTTTGGGAATGCTCCCTGGTCCCTGCTGTTCTGAACTCATGCCCAAGCGGAAAGCGTTAGTTAACATCAGCCAAACCTGTATGTGCACACACACAGGGAAGGGGACATGCAAACAGTTATGCTGTGCCACAGCCCAAGCACATACACTGGCCACAGTGAGACACCCCGTCTTAGCTCTGGGGTACTGGGATGGGGAGAGTACCTATCAGGATAATTTAGTGTTGTTACTATGCAGGAACTCAAATCTTGATACAGGTTTGAATGTAGGATTTTCTAATATCAAGTAATCTCAGTACCTTTTCTTTCCTCTGCACAGTGCCACATCATCTGGAAGAAAATAACGCTCTAGATGGATGTTTTCTTCCAAATGAAGTAGATCTTCATCAGGTAATTGTATTGCCAAAAGCGGAATGGGAAAGGATTCAGGACAGTCTTGACAGCAGGACTAGAGAAGCAGCACGCATCCTTGCTAAGCAGAAAGAACGAGAAGAAATGCGCTTACGCTCCAAAGCGGCTGCAAAAGACTGGCCCAATACCATTATGGTAAGTAAAAGATAGATTTGTAAACAAGGGGATTCTTTTTCATGTATGCAAAACCCCTCGTGGTAACATTTCTAACTGCACTCCCTCTAACATTTGCTTTTAAATATGTATTTTAACTAAACGCCATTTAAATACATTTAACGTCTAACATCGACATTTAATTTTTTTAAATTAATGCTAAAATGCATAATTAAAAAAACTCCAAACACTGAGTACATCACCTCCAGAAGAGCTTATACAGTTTTAATCCATGGGCTTTAAATGTGATTTCTCATCTTATCGGCACTGTAGGGGCTGGCACAACGGAAACTTAAAGCCAAAAAATTACGTGAAGAAAGGGAAGAGGAAGAAAGAAAGCGACTTGATTTGGAAGAACAACAGTTCCAAGCAGCAAAACGGAAGGAGGCTATTGATCGTGCAAAAACCTACCTATACTATCAGACCGAACGACTAAAAGGGTTCCATGTTTGTTGACAACTTAGATTTTTTAAATTCAAATTGTACTGAATTTCTTGAAACACGTCTGAACACATAAATTACTTTAAATGTTGTCTTGCAGAGTGCACTTCTACTTACTGAGGTCCTAAAAGAAAGAGATGCTCAAATTGAATTTAAAAAGTTGAAGTCAGATGTTAATAAGAAAAAGGATGAAGAAAAGGAACATGAACATAAAGAAGCTATTCTGAGAGAGCAAGAAAAGGCACGCCAGCATTATATGAAGCAACTGGCACTACGCAGAGATCAGCTGGAACAGTAAGTAATAATTAATCAAAAGTAACCCTACTTTATTCTTTACTTAATCCCCCTTCTCACAAATACATTCTATAAGGTTTTTACAGAAACTTACTAATAATTTGACTCACAAATACGACACTTCAAAAGAAAATTCCAGAGTGCCACAAAAGACCTTGTGCGAAAGGGATATGCAGCGTCTTTTATTTGCCAACAGTCTGCATGTAAAATTGCCTCTGGTAGGCATCAATAGGTTTTATTCAAATTTTCCAGATTTTCCATTTGCCCATAACTAGATTCCAGAGAACACACCACTGCCACCTCCATTCTTTCTCTCAGCTCTTACAGAAACCCTATGGAGGGGTCCCTAGTGATATTTATAGGACTGGACCTGGGGGACTGATAGAAGGAATCAAATTTCCTGAGGTAGAAGAAGGGTTCAAAGTCTAGTCTCACCTATTCCAGGTCCAACACATAAATCCTTGCAGAACTTAGGATAGAACAGCACCAGTTTAAGCTGTTGCCTGCATGCCCAGAAGAAGCACAAGGTACGCTGGGACTTGCTGGGGAAATCTTGTTCACTGAGGGTGCTATAGAGACAGGCCAGAATGTTATGAATGCAGTGGTGCTAATGAGTCATCCAGATAAAACATGTTACCACTGGACCACAAGCTGTGAGCATACCATAACTGATTTCTGGTCAGAGGATTGAGGGCTACCATTACAAACAATGATGCTATTTTTCCACTTCTGATATGCTAGTCAATTCAAAGTACCACATCTTTCAGTGCCAGTTACCTATGGTTACTCAGAATCTCTATTTGTTCGTTACTTCATGTGTTCCCTAGCCCATTTATTCAACTCCTCTTTCTGATGCAGAATAAAGGAGCGCAAGCATCAGGAAGATCTAGCCAAGCTAGAAGCCAAAAGAGAAGGAGAACAAATAGAGAGATTGAACCGATTGTACCAACTGGAAATTCAGAGAGCAATGGAAAAGGAACAGGAAGAAAAAGCTGAACAGCAGAGGCTGTATGATGTAAGTAACAGGAAAGTAGACAGTTCAAAATGCTTGTTGCACCTTGTTTGCTTGGAGTGAAACAATCGCATTCCTATATCCAAATGGGCCTACTGGCAACAGGAGGTTTGCCAACAGCTTCAGGAGCAAGGGATCGTATGGCTACCCTGCCAGTTGCAGGCCATGTCTTTCTTCTGTGCTTTTGAGAAAGGCCTCTCAGGGGCAAGTCCCTTCTCTTGTCTAAAGGGAAACTGGCACCTAAGGCTTTGCCTGGTCTATAATTAATAAGTATAATTAATGCACAGTCTCATTTGTCTCAACATCCCCCTCTCTCCCGTGTGTGAATGGGAGCAAGGGATAATGCTCACTGCATTGCATGGCAATTTGTTTGTGTAATGGGCTGGAGAAGCAGCTGTTTGCTCAGTTTCCCTTCTCCTTCCTCATATCTACTATCTCCTCTTCATGCACGTTTGAGCAGGGAGGCAGAAGTAAGTGTGAGTACTGAGAACCCCTTTCCCGTCTTCTCTCTTAGAAAGAAACACAAAGAGAGAGAACAGGGAGTCATTCTTTTAAGTTGCTACCCCAGGCCAAGATTTTCTAGACTTCATCTGTTATATCAGGACCATTCTGCCCATGCAGGAATATGTAAATGACCAGAAAATTATCAAAGCAATAGAGGAACAAAAACAAATGGAAGAAGATGATCGGATTAAAGCTCATTTTAAAGCAAAGGAAACTATCGCCAAGCTGATGAAAGAGAAAAAAGCTGAAATGCGTAGGTAGGTACAATGCTAGAGTAGAAATTGTAAATAAAATAAAAATGTCACTGTAGTCATATTCAAATCTTTCAGACTGATGATGTAACACAAACCACCAGTATTCTAAACATTAAATTTTACTGATAGGGAAGGTAGGGAATTCAGCAGAAAAAGGAAATTCTATCACAGGTTCCTTAGCAATAGGTGTGTGCGGGAGCAATCCCTCTGCCCTTCAAAGTACAAAGACTTATGGGAGTGCAAAGCTCTACACCAGTGTGTTGGGAACAGTGATTTTCCATATGGCCTGCCAAGCCTCCACCTCCTCAACAATTAAATACAATTAAAATCCTTGACAAAAGTATTTTGGGGTATAAGCTATATTTGTCTGAGTCAGATCAAGAAAAATAACTGGACTTCGTAACTAGGTACCTACATTAATTAATTACATGGGATAATTAAGGGAAGATGGTTTACCAATTAAACAGTGAGGGTACTGCATGAAGATACCATTGAGCCAAGCTGAGAGGTCCCTTTTCTTCCTACTTCTGGCCAATCCTCCCAACATTTCTCTCCTGCTGGCAGGATGCTAGGCAGACTTCTCCCCGAGTGATCCAGCTTGGTATTGCAACAGAAAGCTAGTGTTACAGGGAACATTTATTTGCTCAATCAGATAATTAAAAAAAAAAACCAAACAAACCCAAACCAAAACCCAGGAAGAAAACAGACAAGATAAAGGAGTTGGGTGGGGAGTTGGGCAGGCGTGAGTTGCAAGAAGAGAGAAGACTAGAGGCAGGACTGCTGACTGTGGTAGAAGTAATGCTTCAGGTAGACCCAGCTGTGTACCCTGGTATGTTATGGTAGCTCATGTTCCTCTGCAGACTAACACAGGAACGTCAGGACAAAATTGTTAGCCAATTAGCTGCACAAATGAAAGAGGTATTAAAAAGGGAAAATGATCGTCTTGCTAGAGACATTAAAAAACAGGAAGCTGAAGAAGAAAAAAAACGCAAAGAGAAAGAAGCAAAAGAAAAGGCTGCCATTGAATCGATTGCTGAACACAGAGCCACTGTGGTAAGCAACCTACCCTGGTCTTATTCCTGCTTACTCCAGCTGAGGCCCAGGCTGGTGGGTCTGGTGCCAGGCATCAGCACGCTTCATCATGCCTGCTGCCATCTTTCCTGGGATCCTCTCTCCCTCTCCTGCCTTCGTGCTGGGCGTACATCTGCCAGGGCAGCTGAAAACCCTGGGCTTGGACTCCGGCCAGCCACAATGACCGTGCTTATCAGAACACTGACACAGGGCTGCTTCTGCTGAAAGATATGACTGCCAGCATAGCAGCCGTGCTCCTTGGTTAACTTTTTTTGTGTGTTTTCTAAAATACAGATGAAGATGAAAGTGGAAAAGGAGAGAGAGGAAAAAGCAGAGGCTAAGAAAGAACTTGATGCGTTAATGGAAAAGAACCGCATCTACCTGGAAATGGAAAAAAACAAGAAACAAAGACGACGTGATGCCAACATGGAAGTACAGAAAATTCAGATCCAGCAAATGGTAAATAGAAGAGCTGTACCCTGTCAGCCCCTCCAGAAAGAAGCACCCATCTGCAAGTCAAGGCCGGTTTGCAGTGAGAGATCACATCCTGCCCTGGGCCATTATGTCCTACTGCTCTTCTCTTGTATCCTCTGGGCAGTTCACCGAAGAGCAGCAGCTGATGCTGATGTTCACTTAGCTATTCAATGTACCCTTTTTGGGGGGGGTATGACAGAGGAGAGAAGTAGGGAAGGATGACATTTGCCAAGTATCAACTAACATCCCCACAGATCTCCTGTAAGGAGAGGGGCAGGTTCAGATTGGATATTAGGAAAAAATTGTACACTGAAAGGGTTATTAAGCATTGGAATGGGCTGCCCAGGGAAGTGGTTGAGGCACCATCCCTGGAGGTTTTAAAAAGACAGGTTGACATAGTGCTTAGAGACATAGTTTAGTAACGGGGGGTGGGGTGTTCTTGTATTATTTTCTTTTGGTTTTTTATCAGAGTTAGGTTGATGGTTGGACTAGATGATCTCAAAGGTGCCTTCCAAGCAAGACGATTCTATGATTCTATAAGCTTTTACCCTCTCCAGGTTTTAAGGGATAGTTATGTTGTAAAAGAAATAGTAAGGTTTGTGTTTCCCTTTTCTTCATCAGGCTGAAAAACAGGCGAAAAAACAGCAGGAAAAGCAAGCAGACTTGGACTACGACGCTCAGACAGAAGCTATTGCACTTTGTAAGGAGCGTGAATTTCAGAGCTATGCAAAGCAAGTAATTGAATCAGAGTCCAAGACAACACGTCACCTGTACCCTCTTCTCAAAGCACTCAAAGATGGAAGAGGACTTGGACACGGGCCATCTTCCAGAGGAAGGCAAGAAATAGCACAGGATGATGCTGGGACCCAGTTACCTTATAGTTGTACTACTGCTCAAGAAACATGAAATAATATTGAGACTACACAGCAAGAAAAGGCAGAAGCAGTTTTCATGTGGTCAAAAAAAAATGTTTTTAAAACTTATGGACAGAGTTGAACTGTAAATGCTCTACATTGAATATATGCTATGAATCTGGAAGTCCATTTGAAAAAAAACTTGCCAGAGAACTGGTTATATTCTCAAAAATCCCCAGCTTGTGTTTCACGAAAGTTAGTTCACTAAACTTGAGACAGAAATGCATGATATATAATTGACCAGCAGTGCAACCTATTCCAGCCAAAAGCTATTACTGTTATATTTTTATTATTCATTATTCTAAAAATTCACTGTCCCAGATTTTTCAGGCCTAGGATACAAATTCCTAGTGCAAAAGGTCACATTTTTCACAAGCCCACTTCCAGTAAAGTATTCCCCATAGTAGAAAAAACCAAAACAACTTTACACATCTGCAGGGGAAGAAAAAACAACCTAATACATGTGAAAGTTAGAATAGTTATAGTTCTGCAGTTTTTACAGCATTTTTCCAAGTACCTCTGTAAAACATATATCATGCTATAAATTAGTTATAATAAATGAAAATACAAATGACATTTCATCACAGCCCTTAAAAGGTCACCTAGGAGGCAAACAGGTCCTAATATAGCTGTAAATAGCTACTACAACAAGAGCATGGCAACAAGAACATAGTTGGACTTGGACTGTTCTTTCAAAAAGACTAACAATGATTCAATCTGCAGTTAATAACCTGGATCAAAAAATTGTTTCTCTGGTTCCTCAGCTGACTCACTCTCCAACACCAAAGTCACACACGCATCTCACTCCTTAACTTTAGTTTCTTGGCTGAAATTTTACCATCATGTTCCTGCCTCGGACAGAGTTAAGGTTTCCTATAATGACTTCCTCCACCAGTGCCCTGGGGTCTAAAGAGGGTGCCCCCCTTCTCTGGCGTCCACTGAAAACAAAGTCCAAACAACCTGAAGCTTTTCTTTGTTGCACACAACCTTCTGTTCCAGCCCTCTGGCTGCCCCTCTCTGTTGACCAAGCTAAAAATGACACAAGGGCTAAAAAAAAAATATTAAAAAAAAAAATATTAGGAGAGTTTTATGCAAAGGATGCCTGACAGTATTTTAGCTTGGAAAAATGGTTCTTCTGTGTGCCTTCAAGTTTCCAAGCCTGGTTTCTGATAGCAACAGGCTTTGAAGAAAGCACCTAACTTCGAGCAAGAGGGGAAGATACCCCAGAGGCCAGGTCCCTCCTGCAAGCTGAGGGGTCAAGCAGGGCTGGTTTTACCTCCCCTACAGTATAAAACAACTGGATATAAGATGGATGCAAGACGGATGTACCTCCCGACTGCAGCAGCCACCTCCTTGAGGAGGCTCCTCCCGGCAGGGTAAGGGAGGAACCTCTGGAAGGAGGGGGACCGAGGAGATCCCAGTGCGGCCAAGGGCCTTCCTCCAGGAAAACGCCGCCCAGGGGCCACCCTTTAAGGTCAGGCAGTGGACAAAGGCGGCTTTCCAAGCCCGGCCGCAGGCAGGCCTGGCGGG